TTTATTTCACTTAACATGATAATCTCCAGTTTCATCCATTTTCCTGTGTAGCTAGCTCTGCCACATTTTCTTTATCCACTCATTGGTTGATGGGCACCTAGGCTGATTCCATACAGATTTTTTCTTCAATGAGGAAAATAACTCTTTATTTAAGCACTTCATAGTCTTATTTTCTATTATATACTACCACAGCCTCCCAAAATGCTTTCTTATGACATAGATCATAGGTGTCCTTGTAATTAAGTCCAGCTGTGTTCAATTATAAATGAAACTATCTGCAATTCCTGATCAGCTTAGCACAACTATTTGAACGTGTATACAAAAAACTCTGACCATATGACTGTAGTAAAGGGAGAATAGGTTCATTTGTTCAGGCTACATAATAGCTGCTATGTCCACCAAAGGTACTTGTCTTAAAGGATTGATCCCAGAGGTGGTGCTTAGTCCCAGAGGTGGTCCATAGGTTATTGGAGTTATGGTCTTGAAGGGGATTATGAGATCCTGTCTCTTCTTTCTCTTCATTTCATGACTCATGAAGTAAGTGGTGTTCTCCACCACATACCCCTATCATGATGTGTTGCATTTACCAGAGGCCTAAAGCAAGGGGCCACTTGACCCTAAACTGGAACCCCTAGAACTGTGAGTCAAAATAAGTTAACTGCTTCAAGTATTATCGATGAAAGGCTAATTCAATGGCAAATAGATTCAGCAGTATTGTGACTAGTATTATCTGAGACATTGGTGGGAGATTAATTTCTAAGTTATTAATTTTTCAGGTTTATATTCTTTTGTAACAGGAAGTTAAGTTACATTCTTTAAATTCAAATGTATGAAAATTAGTATTTGGCCAGTACTTAAGGTTAAAGTAACTTACACAGACAAAAATCACTGATCAATTACAAGGGTGTCCAGAGATTTATTCTGATACATTTCATTATAATTTAAAAAATAAAAAATACATATAATTTATACTAATACATGCTCTTATTAGTTTAGTATATATTCCAGTTTTATACAGTTTCATAAAACAATGATAAACTTAAAAATAATATCAACATGTTATATAACTTTTTTTTGACTTATAACATATGAACTTTAATATTTAACTATATATGTAAAATCTCTGGAAGCAACAACAATAATGAAGAAATTATAATTCTAACCTCCTGAACTCTGGAATTAATCTAATGTTTCTTCTAAGCTCAGTCCTAATATCCCATTATTCTACAAGTTGAACGAGATACCTGGGAGCTAGGAACGTAGCTCAGTGGTAGAGGAGTTCCTACCACACATAAGGCCCTGACTTTAAACAAAAAAGGGGAGGGAAGGGAAGGAAAGAGTAGGAAACAAGGAAAGGGAAGGGGGAAAAGGGAAAGGAAATGAGAGAAGGATAGAGGAGAGAGATGAAAGAAAGGAAAGAAAGAAAAGAAAGAAAGAAGAAAGGGAGGGAGGGAGGGAGAAGGAAAGAAAAGAGATTAGCTTTTCTGGGTTCTATTAATTTATCTATAGGGTTGAGAAAGCTGTAGTGTCCAATTAAAGGAAATTGGGTTTAACACCTGATTCTAACAATGTTAGTATACTCTTGAGTAAACAGGTAAAGCTTTTATTTACCTCAAAGGGAATTACTCAGACCTAAAAGCTCAATAGGCAATTAGGGGCTTAAATTGTGCAATGTTTTTCTGTCTTCTCCGGAGGCAACCTCAGTTACAGTTTTTAGCTTGAGATGTTAATTTGATTCAACTTGAGTGCTGATAAAATGTCCTTCAGTTAGGAAAGAAAGAGAATGGTGAAAAAAATAAAATTTTATTAACTAGGACATAATTTTATATACATCCAACCTCAAGGAACACTACCATTTACAGTCTCTCTAATACTTTAGCAATTTATATTATAGACAAATGCAGACTATTAACTGCTTTTTGCCTACCACTGTTCTAAACTTCAAGAATTAATCAAGTTTTCAACACAAACTAATATTTCATACAGGTGTCACTTTATAACAAATTATTTTTTATTGAATGAAGCGAATCTTTTTTTTTTTTTACAAAAGCCAGTATATTATGTCAACTATTTCCTACATACACAGATTTATAGAACATACTAGCTATAAACTACAGAAAATATTCAACTACATAAAAATAAGGTAGATTTTATTCTTTTACTTTCTCAACTTCTCTATCAAAAGTTATTCACTTTTAAATGAAAATATTTTAGGGCAATAGCTTTTATTTTAACAATTACTAATTTATTTCTAAAGTCCAGATGTTCCATTTAACCAGCACTGAAGACTCTATAGCTATAAAATATTTCTATTTAAGAGAGACACAGTAGTTCAAGTCTGTAATCCCAGTGCTTGGGAGAATGAGGCAGGAAGTTCACATGTTCAAGACTAGCTTGGGCTGCATCCTATCTCAGAGAGAAAAATTTGAAAAAGAGTAATGCTATGAAATTGTCTACATCTTATAGCAAGACAAATTAACATATATATTTTCGAAGTGAGCACTTCATTACAGTAGCCACTGGCCTCATGTGGCTAATGAGCACTTTGAAATATGGCCACATTATCAAAATACATACCAACTTTCAAAGGATCAATATGAAAGGAAAAAAACAGAAGCTAGTGCAATAATTTTTACATTGATTATATGTTGAAATGATGATACTTTGGATATAGTGAGTTAAATATATTACCAAAATTACTTGTAGCGATCTATATTTTTTAATGTGGCTGCTAGGGTATCAAAGTTTCTGAGTTGAAAAATCACACACACACACACACAAAACTACATTTAACAACAATAAAACCAAACAAGACATATTATAATCTTTCTCGCCATCTTCCTTAGCCTGTGATAAACTTTGGTTAGAAAAGAGTCTGCAAACCAACACAAGGGATGTTTTGGAGTGATAGAAATGCCCTAAAGTTGGATTGTGATGATACTTGCACAACTTCAAGTTTTTTTTTTAAATCACTCAGTTATATACTTAATGTGGGTAAACTGTATATTACATAAATTATATTTCAATAAAGATGTTTTTTTATTAAAGTACACAGCTGGAGACCAACAGATATAAGGTGTCATCTATTTAGAAGCTGCATATACATTTCAGGTGATTCAAATATAATTTTTAACTCATCATATGAATCAATTGTGCAATGAAAAATTTTCCACAAGGGTCATTTTATCTGCAGTGAGTTCACATTCAACAAGAAATTATGAGGTCACTTGGAGATGTAAATTGATAAGAACAAAGGAAACACTAGATTAGTGAAATAGGGAAGTTTGCTTGCCTGTAGGGGCACCCAGCCTAGGCAATAATAACCTTACAGTAATGTATTCAGTCTTGTCATAAATCCTTCACCCAAGTTGGACACTGATGGTATTTCATCAATGTAGGCAAAATAATGGAATCTAAGAGACCTCCTACTCTATATTAAGAAAACAAATGAAGGAAAACAGATGAAGTCAAAGCAAACATTTCACAATATTCATTGGCTATCCAAAACTAGTTTCAGTTTTCTTTCCATATTGCAGGAAGAAAAAAAAAAGTAGCAGAGAAACCCAGCAATTCAAAAGTTATAGTCAACTTAGAAAAGGATATTGGTGATTAATAAACTTCAATTAAGAACACACAATTCTTTGTGCACGGTGCTGTCTGATCTCGAAACATTATTTTTCAATCTAAAAGCCATAAAGTTATGCACCATGAACATTGTGATACTGCCACCTTTTGTTTCTTGAACATCATTATCTCTAGTAACAAAACAAATCAACAAAAACAGAAACAATAAACAGCTTCATTTTTTCCACTTTACCAAAATGAGTCTGAAGAACAGACTTACTCTTTCTTTACACTCAGGGAAAAGAATGAAATAAAATCTTCATGCATTGGAACCATTATATATTTTTGTGCTTTTTTTGTGACTTGCCTGCATATAATTATTTCCAGGACTCACTTTACTCTGTGTTAGCCAAAAACAAAACAAAACATAGAAAGAAAGAAAACAAAGACAATCGGTGAACAGTGGAAACAGTCATAGTAACACATAGGGAACCAGCATTGAACACAGATGGATTTCAAGATGACTGTGTGAACACAAGTATATACGTACATACAAAGACTTCCATGGACACACTGAGTTGCCTCAAGCTCTCATTTCAGAAGAAAAAAACCTCAAAAGCCAAAGAATGATTCAGAATGTCAAAGTCATTAAAGAATGTTCAGCCACAGAATCAAGGGACCAATTATAGTTCATGCTAGTCATTATAAAGGGACAAGTAGGCATTGGGATAAATCCAAGGATGCATTTGTTATAGTTCCAGACTGAAGTAACATCATAACTGGGAATGTTTAGGATGCAATTTGTGATGTTTTGTGAGTTTAGTGATCGATCCTCAAAACTAAAACACATACAGTACATTCATCGAACTTACTCTCTAGAACTGACTATTGGTAATAACTCAAACTGGTGCTCGTGTGGCATCACCAGTATATATTTGGCAAGTTTCTGTGCCATCATGTTCATGCTTAAATGTTTTTAAGACTGCAAATATAAATGCACATAAAGACACAGTGTGTTTTCAAAGATACTACAAAAGACTGCTATCTAGATATTAAAATTAAATTGTATTTGAATTGTGCACATGGTTACTATGATATCTATTCTTTTCTCTGTTTTGGTCCTTTTTAACACTTAAAGTAGTGTAAGCCAATTGACAATGAAGTTCATCGGTATAAATACGTAAGAGGGCTTTTATCATTTGTCCAAAATATTGGCAAACTTACAGAACATGCCAAAAGTAAAGCACTAACATTCACCTTCGAAACATTAAAATCTTACATGATGTTCATCAAGCTCTAAAATAGCATGAACACCATAAAGCTTGTGCTTTTTCAAATTTCTTAGCAGCCAACATATTCATACTGAGTAAGGCACTACTCCATTTCTGTGAAGAGTCTGGCTCAAAAAACTGTACCTAATTCTCAATGAATCTGTCATACTCCCCATTCCTACACGCTGCCATACCAAACAATATGTAAATAAAGGTGAAGAAACTGAAATGCTCTCTTAGATAGCTACTTACATTAGGAGAGAAATAAGACACTGTACTACTAAACCAAAAACGTCTCAAGTGTTTCTTCAGGCTATATTGAGGAGAGGAGTCAATGACTTTTACAGGCCATGCAGCTGAGGGAAAGCGCTGATTCAGCAGATCACAGTTTTACAAGTTTGAGCGTATTATGCCTTTTGTAAGGCTTTCCGTAAATCGACATAGAAGTTGGTCAGAGTGCTTGCCATGGCTGTGTCAACTGCAGACTGAGGAATCATTCCACGGAGATCTGTCTGGATATAACCCGTCAACAGACTCTGCTTTGGATTGTCTTTAAGTGGAACACAAAACCAACCACAGGGATGGTTATATCCTCGAACAAATTCTGGTCTCTTTTCACTCCAGTCAAGACTTATTCCTACAAGACAATTTTAAAATAACACTATTAATAGAATAACTGATATTTTTCTAAAACTCTTAAAAAATATTACCAGATTTCTTGCTTAAATATTGTGCTCCTTATCTGCACAGATGAAAATTAAGCCTCAAGAGTGACCATGGCAGTCTGAAAAAGATAATTACCAAGGAAAATTGGTAGATAAGTAATGGGGAAAGTTCTAATCCCTTCAGAATAGATGACATCATGTCATCTTTGTAACTCCTTGGAAAATATAAATCTTGGTTGTGGTAGCCAGGCCTCAAGGTACTGATAATCAATTCTGTGCTACCGTGACTATTCCCCAAGCGCCATCATATCCGACTTTGGTACTAGCTAGTTAAAAGTAAACGAGTAGATGTTTATCTACAACTATAAACCCAAGTGTATACTATATATAACAAAGTAAATAATTTACCTATATATCTTAGAAAACAGGAGTTTTCCAATGGTAGCATTTTTAACTTTGAAAAGTAAATGCAGCTTGAGGAAGGAAAAAATTTCTAACATAGATCAACTCTAACAACACAAACACACACACACATACAAACACATGAAGAAGCCATTTCCTGAGTGCAGCTTAGAAGGAAATCAGTTTACTGGATTCCTTTCTCAGTTAGGCATGTGTTCCATTTCTGCTATTTATGACCTATAGGATACCATGTAAATGGAAACAAAGCTCCTCCTATATTATTATTCTACTTCCAAGGGTTTAGCATTTGTACAAAAAAAACTTAGTAATAACTATGAGGGTAGAAACTATATCTCCCACAGAAAGAAATATCTTCCCTAGAAAACGCAAATGGACTGAAAGAAAGTACAAGGTCTTAAGATTATTACCACAGGATAAAAGTCCTTCTTCATAGGCCACAGTGTAGGAGAAATCAACAAACTCTCTTGGAGAAATTATATTCCAAAGCTGACCAGCAGTAGTGTAACGCATCACACAGCAATTCTGAAAAAGAGTAAAGGTAAGACAGGTGTATTACTGTAGGAGGTATACACATGGACTCACAGATCATAAAAAATCTCTAGTGAAAAACTAATATTAAAATATTTTATTAATTATTGTAACAATTATTGCAGTGGTTCTGACAGGTGTAGAACTCTTTTCTAATTGTTACTACTATTGTATGGACATGAAGAAGGTATACAATCAAAACATAAAGTGGCAAAGTTTTTCAGAATCTAAATCTATTTAACTAGAGATTAATAATTCTTTTATACAGATAATATTCACATGGCTTTAGAATGTTGAAGATAAAAATCTACAAATACTTTGACTAGGATATTACAGTTTTAATAAAAAATTCAATCATGATAAAAAGTCAATTAATAAAAATAGAGAGCAAGCCATTTTGGGTACATAGTTTTCTAATGCTTAAGGTAGCATTTTTATCTTTGGTATTTGATTTTGACTTAGTATTAATGGAAAATCTATACACATTTACCTGGAAACCTAAATATGAAGATGGTGTTTTCACAATTTTAGATTTCAGAACCTCAACTAAAGTTTTACACTTAATGATGCCAAAGGAGCAGCAAGGGTAGAGCTATTGTGGAAAACAAACTCAATCCTACAACTCATTAATTAAGATGAGCTTTTAAAGAAGCAACACAGGCTCCCCTCATGATATCTTGTTATGACTACTATTATCAAAGCAATGAATACAACAAATACATGTATACAAATGTTCATGCTGCACACACATGTGCATCTCTCTCTCTCTCTCTCTCTCTTTCTCACACACACAGTCAGAAGTAATGTTTCTAAACAGACACCTCTTCAAAGTGCTCCACAATATCCAATGAAGTCATTAAGCGGTCCCAATCCAAGCGCCAGGGCCCTGGGCGTATGTGGTCTATTACACTATTGACCGTGTCATCTACAACACCTTGGGCTTTGTAGCTGGAAAGAAAAAGAAGTTAAATGCTATTAGAAAAAAAAATTTCAGTTTGTCCTGATAGTTCAGAGCTAACATTGATAGTAATTTTTCTGATAAGTTCTACCAATTATTTTATCAAAGTCCTCATGTTAAGTGACAAAAACCAGACTCAGACAGACAAATACCACACTTTTCCTTCTAATCTAAACTTTTTTTAAAAGATGATACAAAAGTAGAAGAGGGATTATTTGAGAAGAAATGGATCAGTGAGCAGGGTAAGAGGGACAAAAGAGAGTGATGGGTGAATATGATCAAAGTACATGATACACATGTATGAAAATGTCATAATGAAATCCATTATTTTGTATGATAAAAAAGAAAACAAAAAGTGAGCTACAAAAAGAAAATAAAAGCATTTGTCAAAACAGAAAATAAAAGCATTTGTCAAAACATGTATTTTTCTTCTCAAATCTAAGTAAAGAACTGAAGGTGATACTATGTGTCACCATGAACACAGTAAAATTACTGCATATTAAAATATAGCCACAGCCAGTCTATGGAACCCTCTAATACTTCCATTTATTTTACATAATCTTTTCTCAGCTATCCTCAAACATATTAGCATATGCATGTTTTTAACCTAACTTTTAAAACCTCTTTATTAGGTCCAGAAAAATAAGTCAATGATACAGAACACTGAGGAAATTGGTGGCATTACGTATCAGTGGGGAAAAACGTACTGTTCCATAAATGGTACTCAGATTCAAGAGTTATCTTATGGGGAAAATAAAATGTGGATCTCTACTTCCCATTCCTCAAAAACAATTCCAGATAGATTAAATGTCCTGTGTATAAAATGTGAAACTTTAAAACTTTGGGAAAAATACACGTAACTATCTTTGTGGCTTCAGAAAACAGGGGGAATTCTTAAATACACATGACACACAAAAAACACAAATATAAAAGATCATTTAAAACATGTATACCACACATGAAAAAATAAGCTTTTAAAAACTAGTTACAATCTTGGAGAAGATATGTATAAAACATATGAACCAAGATACAATTATTACAGAGGACATAAACCAGTGAAAACAATTCAAAGGAAAGATAGACAAAAGACATTAAGATTGACCTGAAGTATCAATAAATATACTCAATTTAACCAGTAATCAAAATACTATCTAATACATGCAAATCAAGATACATATGAGATGCTATCTCATTCATATCTCTCAGATTGGCAGAGATTAAAACTTAATAACAAGTTTTGAATGGAGGAGAATGAGAATTCTTCAGTACTATTTTGGTAATGTGTAGCAAGGATGATATTTATCCCTAAATCACAAAGAAAATCATGCATGTGTGCATAGGAACAGGGTCCCAGAAGTTTACTGTAGCATTGTACTATGTAAATAATTGACGAGCTAAAAAAAAAAAAAATCTATCACTAGGCAAGCCTGCAAACATAGATAAACATATTGTGGTATATTCAAATAGAAGTAAAAGAATAGACCTATACGGAATAATATGGCTAAATCTTGAGAATATTAAATGGAAAATATTAAAGGGAAATTCCTAAATTAAACACAGACACAAATATAAAAACATACTAGATGCTTTTTCTTATTTATTGACATATAATTGTGTGTTGAAAGTATTAAACAAGTATGAAAGTATGAAACAGAATAGTAAGTTACCTATGAGGAAGAAGGAAGGGAAATGAAATAAAAGAGTTTGGCTTCAACCCTATCAGTAACTTTTTTTTTAAGTATCGGAAGCTGTTTAATCATTTCATAAATAAGCCAAACTTATCTCCCATATTGTAAACCTGTTCTTTCCCCCTGTGTTCTTTAACTTGGGGTAGGGGGTATGAGGGATAACACAAATCAATCACTAATTAGAAATCTGGGATTCAACTTTGACTCTCTTTTTTTTCTCTTAAACCCAGACCCATACTCAAAACTAATCAACCAGCCTGTTTGTATCAGCTGATTTCCTAAATGTAAAGTACTTAGAACATGATCTGGCTTCAAAACATGTTGGTTATCATCGTCATCACCACAGGAACCACAACTGCCACCATTAAGTATCCCTTTTCAACTCCCACACTACTGCCTTAGCTTGGGTTCTCTATGTCCAGCTCAACATTTCATCTGTTTCTACCTCTTCTAATCACATATCTTTTTAATAATATGAAAAGAAAAGTCACAGATCTCTCCCTGGGAAACTATATATTGTCATCAATTTTGCATACGATCTTAGAGAAAATACAAAAAGCTAGTCATAGACCTCTAGGTAAAAAGTTTCTTCTGCTCTCCATGCTCATTTCCATCTTTCACAATATAATCGAAACAAACTCAAAACTCCTTGAGGACCTAGAAAGTTAGATACAGGGCAAGCAATTCCAAAGTCCTTAGTTTCAGAATTCAAAAATCCTTCAGAGTCATGCTCACCCCACCCCCATGCTTTATGCTCTAGCCATAAACATAACTTCTACTTCCCTAAATAACATTCTTAAAGTGTTTCTCATCTAGATTTCAGTAGTAGATACAATTCCTTCTGCCTGGAGTATGAATCAGCCGTTCATTCCTTAAGAAATATCTATTCTTCCTTTAAGTCTCAACTTAAAATAAATGACATCTTTTCAAATTCTCAAGCCCAGTGTTCCCTTGGTACTTTTTACACTTTACAATCCTCACTGGGAATTATGGATTTAAAGGATTAATTTCTAGACTTGCTTACAACATTTAATCCAACTCCAATTTCTCTGCCCTTGTCATAAATATTTTACAACTCATCTTTTTAGAAATGTTATCTTTGGTCTAACACTTTAGAACATTCTGTATATACAAAGTTAGGCCAGCAATTTCATCTTTTAAAAGGGCTGAGTCCTAAGAATCTGAACATTCTACTCTGATTACACAAGGCAATGGTTTCCACTGGCTTTGAAAAACTGGGGTGAGGTGAAATCTCAATGTAGTTTTGCATTTCCCTGATGGCTGAGATGCTGAACATGTCTTCATGTATTTATTGGCCATCTGTACTTCTTCCTTTGAGAAGTGTTGGTTCAGTTCCATTGTCCACTTATTGACTAGATAATTTGATTTTCTGTTTTGTTTTGTTTTTTTTTAATTCCTTACATATTCTAGACACTAATCCCTTGTCAGATGACTACCTGGCAAAGATTTTTCACTCATGCGTTAACTGTCTCTCACTCTGTGGAGTGGAAGTGATGGACAAAGGAACTTTTATACACTGTTGGTGGGAATGTAAACCAGTACAGCCACTATGGAAACCAGTATGGAGGTTCCTTATAAAATTAAAAATAGAACTTCCATATGATACAGTCCTATAAGGATATGATATGGTATCTCAGTAGATACCCAAAGGAATCAAAGTCAGCTTACCATAGAGATAAACTATATACACATCCATTGTGGCACTATTCACAAGAGTCAAACTATGGAACCAGCCTAGGTGCCCATCAACAGATAAATGGATAAAGAAGATGTGTTATATATACACAAGGAGTTTTACTTAGCTACAAAGAAGAATGAAAATAAATGGAACTGGACATTATCATGTTAGTGAAATAAGCTAGCAAATTAACTTCATCTATAATCATAATATTTATTACCCTTATATTTCCCATCCTAATATCCTTGACAGATTTATATAAAAACAAAAACTACCCTGAATACGCAAAAACCTCAGTTAAACTAGCATTCACCATCAGCATAATTCCTATGAGTCCCACAAAAACAAATAACACATGTTTTCCCTCATTTGCTAAAGCTAGGGGAAAAACTAAAAACAAGGTCATGAAAGTAAAAGGGGGACTTCTAGGGAGGTAGAAAGGGAGGAAAACAGGGAAAAGACAAGGTTGGGAAAAGAAAAGCTGGACATTGGTGGCTCATGCCCATATCCTAGATACTTGGGAGGCTGAGATTTGGAACATCATGGTTCAAGGACAGCCCAGGAAAAAGCACACCAGACACCATCACACACAAAAGAAAGAAAGCCAGGCATGGTGGTACACTCCTGTCATCCCAGCTATAGCAGGAAGCCTAAAACAGGAGGATCAGGGTCCTGGCCAGCTTGGGCAGAAAGCCAGACCCTGCGGTAGAATGCCTGCTTCACAAGTGTAAAGCCCTGAGTTCAAACCCCAAAACAAAAAAGCACGAAACCAAAAACAAAAAGCACGAAAGACCCTATCTCCAAAATAAGCACAGCCAAAAGGGCTGAAGGGCTGGAGGCCTTGTATAGCACCTGCCTAGCAAGCATGAAACCCTGAGTTCAAAAAAAAAAAAAAAAATAGCAAGGGTAAACATGATCAAAGTATATTATACGCTTGTATGGAAATATCACAACGAAACCTCTTATTTTGTACAGTAAATTAATGTATGTTAAAAACCCAATATATTTTTCTTGGCTATAAGCACAATTCATGTTTAACCAAAAAAGAGGAACAGAAGCTATCCAGAATACGACTATCTAGACATGAATATTTGGTCATAAGTAAAAACAATTTAATAATAAAAATACATATTTAAACTAAGCCTTTAATTGAGCACTTTGTTCATTTTATATTATATTACTAAATAATCTCTGAAAATAGTTTTTAAAGGTTATATAATATTCTACCACAGAAGTTTCATAATTTAATCATTCTCCTACTACTGATTATTCAGGTTGTTTCATTTTTAATATTCTAAATGATGGTGTGATGAAATACTGAATATTTAAACCCCTATTATCTTTCTGATGATTTCCTCGAGATAAATTCTGAAAATACAGAGTGCTATGGCCCTAAGTAATGTAGAATCTTAGAAAGGTCATATCTACCATGCCAACAAATTCAGATTTTTATTAGCCTTTTGATATTATTTATGATCTTTTCACCACCAATTCAATCCACAAAGGGTATAGCCATTTTAAGGCTCTGAATTCATAAGACTAATTTTCTTTTCAGAACATTTAAAATCCTAAAAGCAAAAGTTAAATTTTACTAACAATGATCATTTAGAACATGTGCATAAATGAAGTTTAGCAGTATCTTAAAAGCTACACAAACTGTGGGAATTTACTTACAGATATCCATTAAATTCTTCCGAAGGTTTTCTCCAAACTGTTACATCTTTCTAGAAAAATTAAAACATTATATGGTGATAATTACATAGGTAGAACTCTGAAAACAAAACTAACGATTTTATAAAGTCTAGAGTCCTTATCTTTGCATTAAAATAAAACTTTAGTAAATTTTCAGATACATAAAAGTTATCTATGCTACAAAATGACCCGTATTTTAATTTCTTTTGTATCACATTGTACCTAAATTACAGATCTTCAGATAAGATTTTTAGCAGCTTAATAAGACTCAAACACTGTTAGACTCAGTAGCCATTATTGTTTGCTTCATTCCAATCTTATCTGTTTACTAGTGCTGATACATTCAGACTTTGACATTAAGAATTTCATCCTGAAATTGCTCACATCTTTAAAAAATAATTCATATTTATTATGACTGTGTTATCTTTAATTACTCCAATTATTTCCCAAGTAATTTTGAATATCAGAATAACTATAGCATAGAGCACAGGAGAGTTCTGGCCACTGGACTTGCCTCTAACACACAGCCTTGTGAGAGCGTGGGCACGTCATATGGTAACTGGCCACACTCACAGGCTTGTTGATGCACCTGAAACTACTCCAAACTATCAATTTCTATACTTCCTTGAATTGATAATGACATGCTTGTTTACTCAGAAGATTATGTTCTTTAGGCTCTAGTTGCCATGACCCTATTCTCCAGTCTAATATGGAAAGAGCTAATAAAAGCAGTGCAGGGTTGCTGCTAGTGTTGTCCTTCCTTTGTGAGGTGACCCACCAGCCTTGTCTGCACAATTATCTACTTTGCACATCCATTCTAAGCATGGTCTCTTGCTTTCATATCATTTTAAAAGTTATTAATCAATCAATTCATTGGCTATACCCCAAATATTTGAACTAATTTACCATTTTCTTTGTGACTCGCCACTTATCATCTTCAATGCTATGGTACTGGAGGAGAGTGTTTTTAAGTTTAGTTGAAAAAGAAGCAACATCAGGCAGGCCTTCCATTTTTTTCTTTCTGTTATAGAAACCAAGATTAGCACCAGTAAATATTGCAGTAGGTCAAAATCTGGCTTCTCATTAAAATCTCCTGGAACACATCCCACGTGAAATAATCAGAATATCCGAGAGCAGGAACAGGGCATACACTTTTTCTGCAAGCTCCCAAAGCAAATAACCCATATCCAGGGAAGATAATCTCCCTTTTTGACAATTATTAAAATCACTCATATAAATTAATAAAAAGAAAGATGGCAGGATGGGGTAAGGGATTATCTGATGTATCTTTCTAATCTGTATGTTACAAACACTCAAATATTTACCTCTAATCCTCACCTCTACAATTTCAAAGTTCCAGATCCAGAAGCCCACTTAGAGCTTCAATCTTGAGAGGCATCCTTAACAATTTATTATTAAAACAACAACTGAGCCTAGGTTCTCAAGTCAAAAGGTTTAGAATCACCTTAAAGAGATTCCTATCCACATTACCATACCCCATTGGCCAGTGTTCTATTAGTGTTAGTATTTCCTTTCTGTCCCTCAAAGAAGCCAAGCTTGCCACTGACTTTGGGTCTTTCTATTTGTGATTTCTCTACCGACTACTATATATTCCAAATCTTAACATGACGAATAATAACTTATAATGTGAACTTTAGTTTAAAACTCCTGTTCTTAGCTAGGTTTAGGAACTACTCATCTATAAAAGTGACAAATAAATCAAGACCGTAACCAATATTTAAATAGCACAAAATACAGCATGCAAGCCATTAAACTGATAAATACTAAAATTATATAGAAACATGAGAAAGTATACATAGAAAATTCAATGACATAGGCGTAGGATCCATGTAAGCAATGCAAGACATAAAAGAGATGGAAAGTTTATGAGCTCATTCAAAATCCTACAAGTCAGGAAAATATCCCCTTTCCACTAGAAAGCCTGCCGACTTGACAGTCAGTGCACGGACCTTTTTCGAGGGTTTGTCATAAACAAGCACAAGTTCTTAGAGAGAGCTTATAAAACAAATGTATGTATTGCTGTGATCATTATGATTAAACAACATTCCTTAAACCCAAAGGTCTCCTGCCAGCTTCCTGTGGTTGGTAGAAAGGAACATTTTTTTTTGATAACTTTTTGATAAAAATCAAAGATGAATGGAAAGCTACTATCATAAGCAAACATGTGCATTCTATGTGCAAATCTAGCACACAGAATAAAAGTTACCAAGAAAGGATCTGAAGCTTTCCAGTGTTTGTCTTATTAATCATTCACATCTATTGATCAACAGAAAACTCAAGCTCTTTAATATGGCTTATGGCCCTTATATCTGGCTGAGTTTCACTGCCTAATTTCTACTCTTTCTTCCTGGATTCTCCTAAAGAGTCAGCAAACTTCCCATCCAATGGGAGTTCTCACAGCTCCATGTTGTAATTATTTACTGCTTCTATTCTGCCATTTAACTGTAAATTGGGGGAGGCAAGTAGTGCAGGTGTTCATACTCCTTTTGTCCAGCATATAGTAGGAACCCAGTGAAAAAAGAGAAAAATGTGTGGACAGTGTGCTACAATTTCACCTAGGAAGACCTCAAAGTATCTAAAGTATGGTAATTTACAGAAATTATCCTCATCCTGGAGTTTCTGAATAACTACAAGTCCATACACAATAAGCACAATTTCTACGGGGATCTACTCTTAAGTGTTTATCAAGTGTCTAGTATTTGAAAAGTCCTAAAATTACAGAAATGGATAGAATCTGGTTTTTGATCTAAAAGTTGACTTATTCTGTTCTTTAAACTTCAACAGCAATGACAGCAAAAAACTAAAACATTAAAACCTTTCGGCAATAGCCTCTTTAAGGATGATGAAGTAAGATGTAGGAAGAGAATGAAGTATGAAACTGGAAAGCTCTCTTCGAATCCAACAAGTATTTCACCAGGCAGTTAATTCTGGCATTGATTTTTCATGGAGACTTAAGCCCCAAATGGAATAATGGTTACTGACTGGACTGCTATTTGTGACAGGCATCTCTCAAAATATATTCTAGAACCAAAGAGTGAGGGCATGTTATTGGAGTTACCAAGGTTTTAGCTCTTTCCTGATGTAACAGAGCACTGCATTAGTTGAAAAGGAAAACACAGTTTTCCCTCCTGCAATCTCCAACTGTAGAAAATGTTTGGAAATGTTTTTAAATACCATTCTGAGTTGCCTCTTACTAATTCAACCTATTATTGCCTTTGTTACTTTATATCAGCAAATTCTCAAACTACGACACATATCAAGAAGAATAGGGCTGGCAGAGTGGCTCAAGTGGTAGAGTGCCTGCCTAGCAAGTGTGAGTCCCTGAGTTCAAATCCCAGTGCCACCAAAAAAAAAAAAAACAATAGGCACCACTTAACCTTATCAGAATCCAACAACTCCAAATACAGTATTACATAAACTTGTCAATATTATGGCCAAATGGCAAGGACTGTAAAGGCTGGGGTGGGACTCAAGTGGTAGAGTGCCTGTGTGAGGCCCTGAGTTCAAGCCCCAGTGCTGTCAAAAAAAAAAAAAAAAGGGGAAAGCCCCCCACAATCTGCACTTATGTGGTATAAGAATGTAAGAATATACTTGTAAAGCAGCTCAGGAATCAGAACTTTTAAACTTCCATTGCTCAATAAATCCAGTTTACACATAATAGACTTTCCTCAACATGATGGGCAAACCAACTTCTAAATTGTATTTTATAACATAAAAATTTTGGCATATGCTTGATTTCCAGTCACTCTAAGAGCCAGAAATCTAGTTTTTCCAACTCAGTCAAGTACAGCAGTTTCTCATGTTTGAAACTGGCCCTTTCCCATGCTCTCTATTTAAAGGGATGTCACATGGAAACAGCTCTGCCGCGTGTGTGTGTGTGTGTGTGTGTGTGTGTAACCATCCCGATTCAAATGCTCGCCTTGACTTGTCAGCTATACGACGTTGAGGGTTTTTACAGCGTTTGTATTCGAATGATATCACAACTTTAATTTTGAGTCCAAATGAGTGTTCAAGTTCCTAATGCTGCTGACGGAGTGGCTCAAGCTGTAGAGCGCCTGCCTAGCAAGCGTGAGGTCCTGCGTTCAAACCCAAGGACCGCCAAAAACAAAAAGTTCCTTATGCGCTAATCCTTTATTAAAAATAGTAATCGATGACATTTATTGATCATCTAATTATGTGGCCGGTCTTCCTGGTCACTTTACATGGTGTTATTTCACTTCATTCTAAACAACCTTAAGAGTTCTCCCTTCATTAGCAGAGAGGTTAAGTCAGTTGTCCTCGATCACACAGCTAAATAAGCGAGGGAGCCGGAACTGCCCTGGGGCGGCTGACTTCAGAGTCTAAAGGTCTGTCGTGAAAAAAATGCTGGAAGCTGACCACAGTCTGGAAGGGATTTTACACACCACACACAAACTTGACCCCACAACAAATTTGCTACAATTTCTCCTGAACCCAGATAATCTCGGTGCATTCGGGAAAGCAGCAACAGTGGTTTATTCAGGAGTTACATGAGTTAATCCATGTAGCCTGGACTTGGAAGACAGACGCCGTCGCGCGTCATCAGCGTCCGCTCCATCCAAGCCTGGTGACCGGGACGGCGGGACAGGGGGCGCGGCGCCCTGCAGGAGCGCGACCTCAACACGTGTTTGCCGCCGCCCCATCTAAACGCAGGCCTAACGGGAGACAGCCAAGGAGCCGGGGAGCGGTGGAGAGCTGTCGCCCGCGTAGGTCTGCACCTGCCGGATACGCGTACGCCATCCCCGACCTCACCCCACCGCCAGAACCAGCTCCCGGGCGTCCCGTCGCCCTCTCCTCCCCGGGGCTGCCCCACTCCCGCCGTCGTTCTGTACCTCTCTCGACAGATCCTCAAGTTCGGGACAGTTCGGCTGCTCCCGGCAAACGCCACCACGTAGTTACAGTCGGCTCAGTTTCCGAGGCACGGCCGGCCACAGCCAATGGGCGTAAAGTCGCTGAAGGTCTCAGCCAATTGGAAGACAGCAAGCTCTTCCGGTCAAGGCGGGCCTCACCCCCTAGCCACGCCCCCCGCTCCGCTGCCCGGGCCGTGCTGGGCTATAAGGAAATGTTAGCCCGAAAAACGTGTGTTGGCGAGGATTGGCTGGCGCTGCAGAGTGTGGAGAGCTGATTGGTCGCCGGCACATGGAACGATTCGGCGTGGGCGTGGGCTGTGGTGCTTGGGCGTGTGGTGTTGAGAACTCCCTGGGTGAGTGGTGTCGCCTGTGCTCTTGGATCTGTCACAACTGACTGTAGAAAGAATTTTGCAAGGCATATAGCCTGCAGGGAGACACTCTCCTCCATTGTGAAGATCTGAGTGTCAGGCATCCGCACTGCACCGGGACTCAAGGTCTTGTGAAAGTCGCCCGAGCGGAGGAGCCCTTCTGCCTCCTGCCTGGGTGTAAAATGCAAAGGGACAGTCAGCCGCCGAGAGAACCCACCTTTACCCGAGCCTTTTTCTTGTCTTCTGATGAGAAACGAGAGCACAACTTCGAAAGTGGAGGAGGAAGACTGGCAGGTGGTCAGAGTCACCGATCTGATGAAATTCTTGGCGAATCTGAATGCAAAGTATCAGGTTGTTTGCAAGCTGTATTTATTAAGGTATCTAGCGTGAGAACCAAGAACGGGAAAAGACTGCAATGCTGCAACCATTAATCATTTGTATAGACTTGCAGAGAGAATAAATAATACTCCATAAAATTTTAAGTTAGCCTCACTAAAAGAATGACCAATACCACTTGTTAGTTATTATTAGCTAGTAACTGTACTCTTTGGTTGAATGGATAGGTGGATGACTGAGATGGTTGAAGAAAAGTGCTTTGTATTAAATTTTACATACTGTATATCTCATTAAATCCACAGAAGTAGCCTCCTAAGGTTTTACAGATGAAAAGCCCCAGGCATAGATCTTAAAGCAGATTATTTAATTATTTACTGACTGAAGTGGAATTTGGCCATGTCTGCTGGACTCCAAACTTGGGACTCTTAATCTCCAAAATAATACTAATAGTAATAATAATAATATTGTGCTTCATCGTTCTCTGTCAAACCCCTGGGCACAGCAGTGAGGACCAGAAATGAAAGAATGAAAGACCTAACCCCACCGTGAAGATCTACAAGTCCTCATAAACATTTCAGAAAAAGTAGAAAATTAGCATCTCAGAGAATTTATAAAACATGTTTAAAACAAAGTTAAGATTTTTTTTTTCTTTGAAGGAGATGCAGTCTAAGGTCATTATATCACAGTGCTCCCGTGTGATTTCTTGGGATTTTTTTCCTCTGGTTTCTGGGAAGCTTTTGTTTCTTTTCCTTTTGTTCCTCATCTCTTGCCCTGTTTTTCTTGGTTAAAAGGGACTGAGGTTGAAAAACCATTTTATTTCTCTTTTAATGCTACTAAAGCAAAACCTCCGGTTCAGAAGAAAGAAATGATACTATCTGGCACTGTTGTTTAGGGTTTACTGTGGTCTGAGCATAGTGCTAAGCATGTCACATGTTACTAACTCATTTAATTCTAATGAAATTTAATTAGTGTCTGCTAATAGACTATTACTATTTTCATTGTACATAGGAACAAGCTGTGTAGTATGTGTTGTGGACTCCAAGCTGTGAGTTGGTAAAAGAATTGACTGAGCTGGGAGAGTAAGAGAAAGCAGAGGTTGATTAGGATGCCATTTAGAAGGAAAAAAAATGGCAGGCAGCTAGGCAAAGAACATAGCACTGTTGGGGCACTGATATGGGGTGGTGAACAAGCTCTTATAGATTTATATGGTTGTGTTTTCCTTGTGGGCCTGTTGATTGGTTGTCTCTTCCTCTATCATGGTTTAAATTCTGTGCACAGGAACACCTCCCAAGTTTGGCCCCTCCTTCCTCATTTCGCCTGACTCTTGGTGTTTTATACCTGTAATGTGTCCATAAATGGGGGGCAGGGGGTTGCTTTCCTTCACAGTACACAGGGCCCCAGATGGCTATCCCTCCCAAATAGTTTGAAAATGGAGAAATAAGGTTTCCATCTAAAAGACAAGTTTATTACAGAGGTAAGCATATAATGGGTTTGAATGGAAAGTTACCCTACAGAGACAAAACAGTTTCCTTGCCAAGCCCTGATTGTAATCTGACTGAATATATGAATATTTCTAAAAAAAAAAAAGTTTCCAAGAAAAAAAATCCAAAACAGAAGTAATTTAACTATAATTTCTGACCTGTAGTCAATAAATCTAGAAATAAACAAAATAAAACAACACATGTATAAATAAAACAACACATGCTTGATTTTTTTTTTTAATTTATTCCCCGAACTCTTTGGTCAAAGAGTAAATGTAACGTTGCATGCTGAGGAATAATAGCAAAATATTTTAAAATATTAACAAAAACTATAACCATGCTATGTGAGGGAATATGACAAATTCTATAATTAGGTAGCTTGAATTCGTAGCTTTAATTCAATTCAACAAATATTTTATAAATGCCTACAACGTGTACCAGGGCCTGAGGGCATATTGTTTCTTAACTGAGAATTACTTATTAACAAATAATAGAAACTCCCTGGACTTAGCCAAAAAGGTATTAGAAAGTAACAGGGATATCTTGTAAAAGTTGGCTACTCAAAGTGTGGTCCAGACCAAGCAGTATTGACACTACCTGGCAGCTTGTCAAAAATGCAAGGTCTTGGGCCCTGACCTATGCACATTACATTTTGAGAAGCAAGGTTAGAGAATACAAGGATTTGACTTACAGTCAAGCCTCAAGAAGATTAAAACCAGAATTTAGCATCCACCAAGAACTGAGACCATGCAAATCCATCAACCTTTATATTTAAGATGTGTGCTCCCACTGTATACAAATACAACTAAACTAAGAAGCCAAAAACAGAAAAGTTCACCAAGAAATTAGAAAATAATATGAGAAGGAATGAATTAGCAAATACAGAAGCAGAAAAAAGTAGAAAAGAATCTATGGGATATCACAAAATCAGACCAAAGAGGTAAGTTTATAGCAATCATTGCCTACATCAAGAAAGCAGGAAGATCTCAACTGAACAACATATGACTATATCTCAACAAACTAAAAAAAAATTAACAAACCAAACCCCAATTTAGTAGAAAGAAAGAAATAGCAGATATATATAAAATAAAAACTAAAAACTATAAAACATCCACAAACAAAAAGCTGTTTCTTTGAAAAGATAAAATAGGTAAACTCTCAGATAGACTAAGAAAAACAGAGAAAAGACACAAATAATAAAATCAGAGATAAGAAGACATTACAGTTAACACCACAGAAATACAAAGAATCTTTGTGAATAACTCTACACCAACAAATTTGATAACCAAAATAAATGGACAAATTCCTAGGTACATAAACATCACCGAGACTGAACTGTGAGAAAACAGAAAACCCAAACAGGCCAATGACAAATAACAAGACAGAACCCAGGTCTGTCTCCTCAGTGAATCACAGCTACTCTGGCCAAAAGCTAAATTACCAGTGGCCAGATGACCCAAATCTGTTCAATGTGTTTTGATCCCTGGGGGATTTCTGACAATGTTGAGATGGTGAAGCTATCTTCCTGATGAGGTTGTTAGTCTAAAGGGTGAAGAAAGTCTGCAACTCCTGGGCACTGCCACCTGTATGAGAGCGGCTTAAACACAGAGAAAGTAGGGTCATCGCTTGAGGATATAGAGCCAGCCAATTCCAGAGCCAAATTTAGTCCTGAACTTTTTATTTATGTAATTCAGTACATTCCTTTATTGGTTCATAATTCTGAGTTAACTTTCTCTCACTTAGGATGAAAGAGTCCCTAGTGAACAGAGGGCCCCTTTCCTGTTTAATATTTTCTTCTTGAGTTTTGTCCAGCAGTGGCCTGAGGTCAGGTGCTGGGAAAAGACTTCCAAGACTCACTAATACAGGAAGGAGAACCTGCAATGTTTCATCTGTGTGTTTAAGGAGACAAGGGTAGTTCCTACCTTCTTACACAGTTGCCTGGAACAACTGTTTGAGTATAGGAAAACTTACACATATTTTGGGAGACTACATCTGTAGCTACTACCTGTAACTTTCAATGTTAAAAGTATCTCAAACACCCAAGGCTACAGTGAATCTAGCTTTTACAAGTTCAAGATGTGTATTTTCAAGAAGAAAATGTGGTTTGCATACATAATGGAATATTATTCATCCATAAGGAATGAAATTATGCCATTTGCAGGGCAGTGGATGGAACTGGCAATCATCACAAAGTGAAATAAACCAGAATGAGAAAGACAAATATCACATGTTCTTTCTCATTTGTGGAATCTAGACCTAAAAAGAAAAAAGACACTAGTGTAAAATGGGGTGAGGGACAGGACTGTTTGAGTAGAGGAGCCAGTGGGCATGGTGGACGGAGGGAGGGTAAATATGATTGAAGATCTTCATGGACATGTATGAAAATAGAATAATGAAACTCATTAAAGTTGTTTTTAAAAGAGGGAAGGGGCAGTAAGAGAGAGTAATGGGTAAATTTGATGAAATCGCATTTTATGCACATATGGAAATACTACAATGAACTCCCTTTGTACAATTAATGTATACTAATAGTATACACTAATAAGACAATGGGCTGGGGTTGCCTCAAGTGGCAGAGTGCCTGCCTAGCAAGCATGAGACCCTGAGTTCAAAACCCCAGTACAGCAAAAGATAAGAGAGAGAGAATTTGTTTTTTTAAGATTGTGTTTTTCTACATTTAGTTCCAGGAACTTTTCCTAGATCATTTCTATTAAGTCTTTTCATGCCTTTTGAATGTGTGTCTGCTCTTTGTTTCTTAAAATTGATCCCTGACTTTCACAGAAATATAAGGTTGGGTTCATTCCCTCAAAAAGCCTTTTCTACACTAAAATAAATG